CCTGCCCCTGGCTGCCCTCATTCCGTCCCCTCCTTCCCCACCTCAGCCCCTGGCAGCGGTGCTCCGCCAGAGCAGGCAGAGCTGCAGGCAGGCGAAGGGGAGTCAGCTCTTGTAACCATGCCGGCGCCTGTCATTGCAGCGTGGAGACCGGCCGTGGCCGTCGGCGCCGTGGACTGCCAGAACGAGTGCAAAACCAAGGAGTGTGGGAACTTCGAGGTGCCCAGATTCCCGACACTGAGGGTAAAGTCTGCACGGCCTGGGGTGGGGCGGGCGGGCGGAGAGCAGAGCCTGGCCCCTCTGCCCGGTGCCAGCACTGGGGCCTGTGTGACATTGCATGGGTGCCAGGCAGCCGTGTCACGGGCAGTTCCTCATTGGCTCTGGTCATAGGATCGTAGCGAAGCAGGGCTGGAAGAGACCTCCAGAGGTCACTGAGTCCTACCCCTTGCCTGAGTCATCCCAACCATCCCATAAAAACCTTAATTTAAACCAGGGGTGGGCAAAATATAGGCCACATCCAGCCCTCCAAGGGATTTTATCCATCTCAGGGCAGGTCCTTCAGTCCTACCCAGCCCAAATGCGAAGGGGCAGCTTAGGCCATGGCACACGTGGCTCGTCCCACCGCCCCTGGGTGCACAGCGAGGCTGGGATGGTGTGGTAGCTGGAACAGGCAGGTGAGGTCTCCATGGAGACCAGCCTGGGATCCCCACAGGCAGGGCACATTTAGCCAAATGGATGGGATGGGGCAGTGGGCTGGCAGGGATTAGCATCTGGGAGTGGGGGCACCAGGGCCAGAATCCTGGAGCTGGGGCCAGGGCAGAGCCACGATCCACTCCCTGCATGACAGATTGTGACCAGTCTGACCCAGGAGTGGGGCAGCGTGAATGTCTGTGACCCAGCTGCTGCTGCCTCCGCCCCACACAGGCATATGTGGGCAGCCCTATATAGTGCAGCTACAAAGTGGCACAGCCCAGCAGCATGGGGTGGCCGCAACAGATTGGGATAAGATTAGGCTGCCCTGCGCTGTTGGGCTGTACTGCATTGGGGCTGCCCACATGTGCCTGTGCTGAGGCAGGGGGCAGCAGGACTCCACCTCCCTCCTGGGTCAGGCTGGTCGTGATATGTTGTATGGAGAGTGGACTGCAGCTCTGCCCCAGCCCCAGCCCTATGCTGTCACTGCCCGGTGATCCTGGCCCCAGCCCTGCCCACCCATCCCACACTCCTGGATGCCACTCCCTGCCTGTGGCCCCAGCCCATCTGCCCAGCCAAGTGTGCCCTGCCATCAGGAGTCCCAGGCTGGTCTAGTAATCTACTATTTAGGGATTTTTGGTGAGCTGTTGCAGGCCAGGGGTGGGGAGGGTTGTAGTGCTGACCCAGCCCTAGGTGGCCCTCCAGCCCAAATAATTGCCCACTCCTGATCTAAACTCTGCATAAAACTACTGTCAACCTTGATGCAACAGAGACCTAACACCCTAACCTGCCAGAGGTAAAGCAGGGGAACCATGGCAGCCAATGTCCTACTTCTATGCAATGTTGTCAATATAGGCTCAAGAGATCCTGAGTAGCGGCCCGCCCTCCTCCCCTGCACTCCTAGAGGAAGGCAAAAAACCCCACAGTCCATACCAATCTGACCATGGGGTAAAATTCCTTCCTGACTCCAAATATGGTGATTGATCTGACCCTGAGCAGAGGCAAGACCCTGTAGCCCAGGGGTGGGCCATTTTTTCAGCTGGAGTACCACTTAATGAGTTTTGGTGAGCTGTTGAGAGCTGCACACGCAAAATCTCTTAGAAGATATCAGTTTAACAAATTATAGATAAAAACAGATTTGGAATAGACTGCCGCCAGAGGTGATTCAAACACCCACTTTGAATGCCTTCAAGACACTTTTGGATGTTTATCTTGCTGGGATCCTATGATACCTGCTGACTTCCTGCCCCTGGGCACAGGTCTGGACTCGATGATCCTCCAGGGTCCGTTTCAGCCCAAATATCTATGAAATCTATATATAGAAAATCAAACCTCTATTACAACATATTTTAATTTTATTTCAAAAATAATTTTTGTCTTTATTTATGTTTTTTTGAGTAGTGTATATAGAGGCAATTGCTTAATAGCTCAAAATAAAGTCTAACTCTTTTATATTGTGTCGGGGGTATGTGAAGTGTGAGGGGGCATGCATATTTGTGTGGGGGGCTGCCTGTGCACTAGGTCCCAGGAGCCAACTGGGGGTTGGAGGAAGTAGGGGCAGGGTAGGAAGCATGTGCAACAGAGCTTGTTGGGGCAGGGTGGGGCAGTCCACTCCCGCACCTTCTAACCCGTGGCTTCCCCTGCAGCACTGTGCATGTGGCTGAGTCCCACCCAGAGGAGCCCACGCCATACTTCTGTCTGCACCCATTGACTGGCCAATGTGCACAGCTTCCCTGTGCAACTGCAGCTGTCTGGGTACTGCTCAGCTCACTCCACCTCCAGTGGTATCTCCTTCTCCTGCCCCTGGTGTGCTGCTGGAGAGGAGGGGGAGAGGGGAGAGCTGCAGCCAAGCAGCTCCTGCCCCAGTACATGGGGCTCTAGCTCCAGTTCCTGGCTGCCTTCCTAGAGTGGGTGAAAAGTGGCTGGTAGCCAGAGCTGGAGCCCTGCATGCTGGGGCAGGAGTCACTTGGCTGCAGTACAGCCTTGACAGGGATTAGTGTAGACAAAAAATAATCAGGCACATAGGATTTGAGTGAGAATGCCAGAAGCCTTGTTGCAAGGCCTGTGGGGTGACTACAGGTTACCCACCTTATCTTTCTTCTGCTCTCTGTGCCACCAGGATGCTGAGAGATTTTGCTCCCATCTATGAACGGCATCGGGGGCATCCAATGGTTCTGTTATTGGCTGTTACTTATGAAGTGCCAAACAGTTTGCTTGTTCTTTGGATTGTGGTATTAAATTAGGTGTCTCTGCTAAAGTGGTCAGTAGTAAAATAGTTAATAGTTTTAAGGTTTGAGATGGTTAGACTTCAGACTCAGGAGCTTGCAAGAGGAGTGGCCAGGTCATACCACTCAGTGCAGTTGTTCCAGGCTCCCTGCAGACTGAGGCAGATGCTAAATGTGTGCGAACTGAGGCAGTGACAACTCTAAGGCTTTGTTTGAAAGTGCAAAGTTGGGAACCTATTCTGAAAACCGGTGCACTCAGATTTTGGAATTGGCGTGGCACAGAGGTAATGGAGTATGTGGGTCTTTCTGTGGGTTGCTCCCTTGTTTTGTGGGGGGCCTGCCTCTGACACCCTATTCCTACAGTCTGTATCCACTGACCTCATCTTGTTGAAGGCAGGACCTCTGAGGGCTGGTGCTGGGAAGGCTGACAGGTAACTTGGGAATTCCCTCTACTTTTCTCCCCCTCAACCTGTCAGAGCCCCAGCGGGTGTTTGCCCTCCAGGGTGCAAAGATCTGTTTGTTCACTGAGGCTGAGGCCAAAAAGCAGGACAGGATGCTGACTGGGTATGCTAATTGGGAGATCTGTAGAGTTTGCCTTGTGTCAATTATCAGAGAAATGTGTGTCTGTTTCACTGATGAATCTGTGTGTTCTTGGAAGCTGCAGAGACCTGGTACAAATTTCCAACTGTCATTCATATGACATTCACTTCAGAATTCAATGGGCCGTCTACATCATAGTCATCACTCTTTGATCTCAGAGCATTGTGATGATCCACCATCTCTCTGAAGAGGGGGACACTGAGGTCCAGAGAAGTGAAGTGATCTGTCCTAGGACTTCAGGTGGTCAGTGCAGAGCCAGACGATGCTGGTGATAAAACCCAGGTCTCTGGACTCCACTCCCAGGCCTTGTGTGCAGGACTGTGCTGTATCTTGCTGTGCTGTAGATTTTAACAAACTCTTTGAAGTGCTCTCTGAACACTCATGCTAACCCAGTGTCCTTGTTTTGTTTCAGGTTTTCAAACCAAATTCCACAAAACCAGAGGATGGAAAGGACATAGATAGTAAGTATTAGGCTGCTTTTTAGCCATTTTCGATGGAAGCGGCTACCACAGCTTTCCTCATGGAGTTGCTTTCCTTTGAGCTTTCTTTGACCTCTGCTGAGTAATGGGGCAAGGGTCAGGCCCATTGGGGGCATTGCCAGGGCAGGGAAGCTCTTGAATGACTTGCTATAGGTGGCAACCTATAAGTATATAAGGGGTGTGCATCAGGATCTGGGGGAGCACCTGTTCACCAGAGCACCCCAGGGGAGGACAAGGTCCAATGGTCACAAACTTCTGCAAGACCATTTTGGGCGAGGCAGAAGGAAAAACGTCTTTGCTATCTGAGCCCCCAAGGCATGGAACTGACTCCCCCCAGAGGTGGTGCAAGCACCTACTCTGGACACTTTCAAGAAACATTTGAATGCTTATTGCTTATCTTGCTGGGATCCTTTGACCCTAGCTCACTTCCTGCCCCTTGGGCATGGGTCTGGACCCAATGATCTTACGAGGTCCCTTCCAGCCCTAATGTCTATGAAATCCTTGCCTCACGAGGGAAAATCCCTAAAAGTCACCTTTGTAACCTAAGCTGAACTTCATAAAAGAGACATATATCTCTGCTCTGAGCCCTTAATTGTTGGGTTGTAGAGGCTGTCAGGTGGACTGGGGAAGTGCACACTAAACCCAATAGCTCTTCAAACCCTCCCCTGTAAGGTGACAGAGCTGTGGCTGCAGGATTGGAGGGAGCCAGTATAGCTGGGATTTTGGGCTAGCACAGGTTGTGTTTGCTACTAAGCAAGAGACACCATCTGTGGTTTCTTGTATGGGCTGCTCTGGGGTTGAGACCTGTGTATTTGGTTCCCTCTACAGATAATCCAGATGTTTCAGTCCTGAGACAAAGCATAATCACCAACCTGGAGAAGTACATGGATCCCTCACTTGGATTGAAACCTGCCTGGTAATTGGAGGGCAACAGAATAGCAGTTACCCATTTTGCATTGTTTGTGTGTGTATATATGAGAAAGAGACACAGGAGCCAGGTAGGGAGGCTGTGGGCAAGAGGGTCGGGGTGTGAAAGATCAAGAAAGGAGTGCGCCCATCCTTACCAAAACTTTGAGTAGCAGTTCTGTCAAGAAAACTTCAGTGTTTCTTGGTCCCAAACCTAGGTTCTTCCACACATTTATAACAACAGTATTCATGTGCTCATTTCAGAAACACTTGTGTCATCATTTCTAAATTAATTCCTTTGGGAGTGCACTGGAGGTCTTTCCTAGGTTTCCTCTATGAGGCTGCCTGGACACACCATAAACAAAACTAGGTCTGCAGCTAAGGTCCTTGATTTTAAAAGTTCTGGTCTGGGAAAATAAGCACTTGGTTTAATTGGCCATGAATTGTTCAAATTAAATGAAAAGGTTAAAATTAAATGAAAGAATAAGCAAAATATACAAAAGTTCTTTTCTACTAAGGTTCTCAATTTCAAAATGGCAGATTGTCATAAACTAAGAGCACTACTGTAATTACCTAAATCCAAGATGACCCTGAATTTGAGATGAACCCCCAATAATTAGATTCTATATTTATAAATTTGTTATAATTTTCTATGTATATAATCTAATTATTTGAGAATAGTCTGGAATTCCCCCCCCACTGCAGGTGGTGGGGGGACAGGCAATGAAGGGGGCAGTAATGGGGCAGGCAGTGCGGGGGGGGAGTCCAGGTGGTGGAAGAGGCAGGGGGGCATGAAATATGGCAGGTGGTATGGGGTAGATGGTTGTGGGGGACAGATGATGGGAGGGGCAGGCAGTTCTCCCCCTTTGTACCTGCCCCCCCTGCAGCCTTTGACCCCTGCCCC